CATGCATTTCAATGCAAACATCACATATTTTTTTTTCGTACTATACATCACATAGATCCACTGCATCGTAAACAAACACTGACATTGTCACAATGCAATTCTCGAGATCTCACAGTCACTTTTACACACAAAAGCTTTTACACACAGACGGTTTTACACACAGACGCTTCTACACAAAGACGCTTTTACACGCAGATGCGTTTTACACACGCATACACGCTCTCACACACAAACGCATTTATTCTCGAGATCTCGCAGACACTTTTACACACAAAAGCTTTTACACACAGACGGTTTTACACACAGACGCTTCTACACGCAGACGCTTTTACACGCAGATGCGTTTTACACACGCATACACGCTTTCACACACAAACGCGTTTATTCTCGAGATCTCGCAGACACTTTTACACACAGAAGCTTTTACACACAGACGGTTTTACACACAGACGCTTCTACACGCAGACGCTTTTACACGCAGATGCGTTTTGCACACGCATACACGCTTTCACACACAAACGCGTTTACACACAGACGCATTGACACACAGACGCTTTTACACACAGACGCTTTTACACGCAGATGCGTCCATTTCGTGTGTAAGGGTCGCGATTGACAACTCAAAGTCGCATTTTTTCCTCAGTTTTTAACGTCCAACGTCCATTTCGTGCGTAAGGGTTGCGCGGGACACCTCAAAGTCGCAATTTTTCCTCAGTTTTTGACGTCCAACGTCCATTTCGTGCGTAAGGGTTGCGCGGGACACCTCAAAGTTGCAATTTTTCCTCAGTTTTTGACGTCCAACGTCCATTTCGTGCGAAAGGGTTGCGCGGGACACCTCAAAGTCGCAATTTTTCCTCAGTTTTTGACGTCCAACGTCCATTTCGTGCGAAAAGGTTGCGCGCGACCAATAAAAGTTGCAATTTTTCCTCAGTTTTTGACGTCCAACGTCCATTTCGTGCGAAAGGGTTGCGCGCGACCAACAAAAGTTGCAATTTTTCCTCAGTTTTTGACGTCCAACATCCATTTCGTGCGAAAGGGTTGCGCGGGACGCTTCAAAATCGCAATTTTACCTAGGTTTTGGACGTCCAACGTCCATTTCGTGTGAAAGGGTTGCGTTTCGTGGCGCTCCGGCGGCACGGCCCCCGCCTTAAGAGAGAATAGAAGAAGAGCGAGAGGAGATCTGCAGATGTGAAGGTGTGAAGATCTAGATCTGCAGGTGTGAGGGTGTGAAGATCTAGATCTGCAGGTGTGCGGGTGTGATGATGTAGATCTGCAGATGTGAGGGTGTGAAGATCTAGATCTGCAGGTGTGAGGGTGTGAAGATCTAGATCTGCAGGTGTGAGGGTGTGAAGATGTAGATCTGCAGATGTGAGGGTGTCTGCAGATGTGAGGGTGTGAAGATCTAGATCTGCAGGTGTGAGGTGTGAAGATCTAGATCTGCAGGTGTGATGTGAAGATCTAGATCTGCAGGTGTGAGGGTGTGATGATGTAGATCTGCAGATGTGAGGGTGTGAAGATGTAGATCTGCAGATGTGAGGGTGAAGATGTAGATCAGCATGTGAGGGTGTGAAGATGTAGATCTGCAGGTGTGAGGGTGTGAAGATGTAGATCTGCAGATGTGAGGGTGTGAAGATCTAGATCTGCAGGTGTGAAGGTGTGAAGATCTAGATCTGCAGGTGTGAAGGTCTAGAAGATGTGAAAGATCTAGATCTGCAGGTGTGAAGGTGTGAAGATGTAGATCAGCAGATGTGAAGGTGTGAAGATGTAGATCTGCAGGTGTGAAGGTGTGAAGATCTAGATATGCAGGTGTGAAGGTGTGAAGATCTAGATCTGCAGGTGTGAAGGTGTGAAGATCTAGATCTGCAGGTGTGAAGGTGTGAAGATCTAGTATAACGGCTGCTTTTTTACGAAGAACCCTTCGCAGGCGCTCTCGGGAAAAAAACATAACTATACTCATATAACTTGTATACTTATAATATAACTTAACTGATTGATTGATTGGTCTATGGTTTTTCCATGTTTGTCCACTTCTGGGAATATCATTGGAATATCATGGGGACAACATCCGTCGCAACATCAGGGGGCAGCACGAAGCTATGGTATTACCCACAGGATCCATGTATGCTATATATGGTAACATTTACCATCAATATACCCCAAATGTTAGCATATATACCATACATGGATCCCATGGGTTAGAGTATTCCCAAATGCTCTATGAAACTGCGCAACTTTGGGGGTAAACCTAGGTAAATATTCCATACATTCCAATAATAGTGTATTATTTTATATCCATATATTCTATATCTGGGATAGTTTCAAAAACACTCCAATGAAAATTGAGCGAAACCATGACTCATCGAGTTTGGTGACTCTGAAAAATGCCAAAAGGTAAACCTGGTAGTTACCTGGTTGGTGGTATACCTACCCCTCTGAAAAATATGAGTTCTTCAGTTGGGGTTACATATGATGGGAAAAATAAAATTCATGTTCCAAACCACCAACCAGTTTTTTGTTCGGTAGTTACAGTTGAAGGGACAACCTGGGTTGCGGCGTTGATGAAACCAGCATGGGAGATGGAACTATAGTAGTTTGAAACCCTGATTTTTTCTGACCTAGAAACTGACCTAAGTTAATATTCGATGCTTCCAACGGAAATCACCAAGAAAAATGAAAATTTTCACCAAACGTCATGGGGATGTCATTGGATAAGCAACAATTTCAGATGGAATGTGTCTGAAGATGGGGTAAACCACCAGATTTTGGGACCAGTTACGAAAAAAGAGACAAACAAAACCACATAGTGACTCAATTGTAAAATAAATAAGAGGAATAAATGAAATGAGCTGTTCTGAAAAGGTCAACATGAAATTCTTTGTTTCCGAAGGTAAACTTGCACAGCGATCGACATCTTAAGGGGGCCGGATTCTCGATCGGCGACCAATGGCCACGAGCCGATTGGTCCCCGGGAATTTTTGTGGTTTTCTATGGGAAAAAATGGGAACATATGGGAACATGACTGGAAAACCATAGGAAAATGGTGATTTAATGGTGATTTAATGGGAGTTAATGGCGATTTATATGGGATACCCTCTGGTTGGTGGTTTTTCGCCCTACCCCTCTGAAAAATGATGGGCTGAAAGTCAGTGGGGATTCGATGACATTCCCAAAAAACCGCGACGGACATATTATACTTAGAACATCAAACATAGTTCTAAGTATGCTCTTAGAACATCGGAAAAACTGATACTTAGAACATCTCCTTGGTTTTTGCATACTTAGAACATTAAAACACACATATACCTAGAACATGTCCAGTTACTTTGGTAAATCTGCATATATACACACAAATACCTTGGTCAACACCATACTTAGAACACTTTCTCCCCTCACTGCTGCAGAAAAGCATTGTATACCTTTTCTTCGGGAACAATATCCCGGACATATATAGTATACATATAGATATATAATTATTGACGGACTTGTACTTCGAACATACATATATGTATGGTTCCCATTGGTTCCCCACTGGGATGTTCTAAGTATAGCTTGGAAGTGTTCTAAGTATAGGTTTTGGCTATGTTCTAACTACTTTTTTCCACCCCTATACTTAGAACATCCCGCTGTGAAGGTTTTATTTTTTTCCAAAGTATGTTCTAAGTACATGTCGTCGCTATATATGGAAAAATAATATTCATGTTCCAAACCACCAACCAGACATGATTTAATCCACTATAATCCACCCAGGGATACACTAGAATTGGAGGTACCTTTTTGTTGCTGTGTGCTGAATACCAACCCAATTCCTGAGCTCCGAATAGGTCGAGTCCAGTTCTTAGCACTAGCTGCAGGTCACAGAACTTTGACTTGGGTAGAACGGTCTGTTCGCGGGTTCAAAAAAACTAATGTGTCGTCAGGTGTCATCGTCATGGTCTAGCTTTTAAAAAATAGATGAATATGATCAATATCTATTGTTTTGTGGACTTTCACTTCAGCTCTCATGCTGTCCTCGCTGTGATTCAAATGTTGGCTCTTTATTTTCACCTGTTTGTAATTCTAATTCTCTTGCTTGTTCTCTTCATCTGTGATTCCTATATTGGTTAAAGGGGTGTTTTTAGGGGATGGCATTCACAGCGCCGCCTATATTTATTCCATATTTATGCATCTGTGTGGTCTGTAGGGACTCTGTTTCACAGACTTTCCACTACCAAAAAATCCAAATAAATCCATTGCAGAAATCAGGGGAGCCTGCGACCATGAATCCCTCAAAATTCCATGAGGTCCAAAAAAAACAGTGGTGTCAACTCTGGTTGCGATTCATTGGTGAAAAGGACCCCCTGCAAGAGAGACGCGCCACACTTGGCCAGCCGTCAATCTAACATGCGCCCGAACGCAAAAATGCCAGAAATGTTCGCCATAATGTCGCGATTTCATGTTGAAAATCATCAAAACATATTAATAACTCATTAATTAAACATAAACCAGTTATTATATTTTTCATGGATTAATGGATTAATAACTGATTTGATAACTATTTAAATCATGGTTTCCAAAGTGTCTTGATCTCCGGTGGATGTTTGCCACTCGATAGTTTTGTCAGGCTTCAACGGATTAACCCAAAAATATGTCAAGGGCAAGTCAATAACAAACGAATCATCAAGAGTGCCAAGGTTTTGTGAAATGGTTCACATATTTTTTTATCTGTCATATACTGTAGTTAAACGCAGATTATAGTGAATTAGAGCATATTTTTTGCTAAATAACATGGGCAACAAAACATGTTGGTGTTTAAATTATAGTTGTTGAGGCTTAAATCCAATGTTTCACCGTGTTTGATGTTTAAATCCATGCGAAATTTTACCTGCCCAAAAAAAATCTTTAACTAATCAACTAAGCTCATTAGTTCATTTTACATCATTTTACCGTTTTACCAAAAAATCTACCGCCCGTAGAACTACCCCGCCCGCAAACGTCTAATCGTTGTCGATCCAACGGCCGGGTCAGTCAGTTTTCCCTCCCCGCAAAGACCTGGCCACGGTGGGGATGGCCGCCATGATGTGCGTCTCATTGGAGAGATAAACCATGCCGTCGCCCCACCTGCGGCCAGGGCTGATGATGCCACGAGATAAACCATGCCAATGTAAAGCAAGGTACGTGGATGAAATAGAACGGCTGTATCTGCAAAGATTCTATCCAAGATCCGTAAGGCACTATTTTTTTCCATTTGCTCTGCTGTTTTGTATGTAATTATCTGTGTTTATATATATATATATATATATATTTATGTAACGTTTCTACATATGTATACACATGTAGATTCCACAAGCAGAACTATGATAGATGTCCTGGGATGGTTGAAGTGTAATAACCAACACTGGACATAAATGTTAAAGATTGTTAAAGCATAGTTTCAATGAACGAGAATTGTTCACAAATATGAATCTGCCACAGTCAGTGAGGTAGTAAAATTAATCAAACCAGAAATATTTGGGATGGGTTTAAGCAGTTTAAGCGCGAGTCGTATGTATGTATGTATGTATGTGTGTGTGTATGTATGTATGTATGTATGTATGTATGTATGTATGTATGCATGCATGCATGCATGTATGTGTGTGTATGTGTGCATGTAATGTATGTAATGTATGTAATGTATGCAATGTATGCAATGTATGTAATGTATGTAATGTATGTAATGTATGTAATGTATGTAATGTATGTAATGTATGTAATGTATGTAATGTATGTAATGTATGCAATGTATGGAATGTATGTAGTGTATGTATGGAATGGAATGGAATGGAATGGAATGGAATGGAATGGAATGGAATGGAATGGAATGGAATGCAATGGAATGGAATGGAATGCAATGGAATGGAATGGAATGGAATGGAATGTATGTATGTATGTATTCATGCATGTATGCATATGTATATATGGTCAAATCTGGATGAGTGATCAGTTATATTCACCAAGTTGAAAACCCAACAAGTGCCCTTTTTTGCACGGGCCTCACTTCATCTTCAAAGTAGAGGAACACTTCGAAGCCCGGTCTTGGGGGCACCTCATCCCATGGACCGATGGCGAAATTGGAGGTAGCTACCATAGAAGGCCTATGGTCAAGGCCTATTTTATCCCCAGAAAATATGGTCAAAAATATGGTACTAACGTAGCTCCATTTAGGACCCTGAAATTCCCGGTAATCTTAGATTCTCCGAAGTGGTTTATCCGAGTTGTAACTACTACCATTTAAATTGTCCCCGTGTCTTCTGAAGGCATTATCATGGATTATCCCATTATGAGCGGGGACCGCACAACCCCTCAGCATGTAACCGCTCTCCAAGTAACAAAGTGAGATGAACCATGGGGTTTAGCTAAAACTATTCCGATGGCACTCAAAGAATAAAAAACAACAAATTCATTTGAAACTGCCAAAAAAATATGTGCAAACTTCAATATATTTTGGAACATTTCTGCATGGATATCATATTTCCCTTCTCCGTCCATTCCCTTACATTTCAAGGCAGGGGTGTTTCCAGCCATGCAGTGCTTAAAATTTTCTGCATTGATTGAATTTTCGGCTGTCGTGATATCACATTCTGCATGGAACCTCCATAAGGGCCATAAACCCAAAGAAGGCATACTGACCCCTGAACCATGAAACTTCCAGGAAATTCCAAACCAATTTGAATCGGGTACTTTCACCCCAATGAAACCTAATGTCTGGAGGCGGGTTGGGATTCAGATGTAAGGATGCCACTTGTCTGGGGAATCCTTTTCTGTTCCGTTTGAGGATTTTTGTTCTGCCTTTCTAGGATTATGTACCCAACGTTGCGCAAAGGCTATGATTTGGACAGTTTACATTGTTATATTTGCAGATTGCGCTGCAAATGCTGATTTGGAGTTCATTTGGGGTTATTTAGGTGTGGTTTAGGGTTTGTTTTAAAAGGTCTAGGGTTTATTGAGGGTTTGTTTAGAGCGTATTGAGGGTTTTGGGTGTGTTTCAAATGTAAGCTTGGTTTAGGGTTTATTTTGGGTTGGCTCAGGGTTTATTTGAGGTTGGTTTAGGGATTATTTAGGGTTGGTTTTGTATGTCTTTAGGGTTGGTTCAGAATATTGTGGTTGATTTGGGGTTTGTTGAAGGTTGTTTTACTGTTTTTTCAAGATTGGTTGAGTGTATTGTATTCAAGGTTACCTAAAGACAGCGAAGCTGCAAGGTAGCACAGATGCTACTACAGTCACAGCACACAACAGTAGCGCAACCTATCTCACCTTTCAGCTTGCGCCAAAGAGGGGCTGCGATTGCAGCCAAGTCAATTCAATTGTACATGTCAAGGTTTGATGCCATGTATAGCCTACTATTCCTGACACCCCTCCGTACAGCTTTTTGACAGGCTGTCATACTGCTGCCAGATGTCACCCACCACACTGCTTGCATGGTGTGTATCCAGCTCGAATGGCCTTTTGCCGTTCAATTTGAACACATATCATATATGAGACTGTACACGCACCATTCCACAGGTAGACCTGTGGTACCTTTCACCAGTGCCGATGATCCACACTGGATCTGGAGCTTTTGGTGTGGCTCTGCGCTGTTGCAGTTGTGGTTGTTCTACACTGGCTTGTGTGGCTACTGGTACTACTGTACAAGATGAGCTGCTTCGAGCAACTCCGGATCCCGCTGTTCCTGCGGATCTACCCACAGGGAACTCAGTTTGGTCAGTAGTCGCGGGGATTCCCGCTGACACTGTGGGCGCCTTGCGTCTTTTGGGCTCATCATGTTTTGTTGATTGGTCTCTGGTCTCGGGTTGGACCTGACACCCGATCGATCTGACCACTCGACCTGCACGCTTCCAAAGGTGCACAAGACCTATCACTGCCAACAGGTGTTGTATCAGCAGGTACAGCAGAAAGCTGTAGTCTGCGTCGCCAGATTCTTCTGGGCCTTGGGCCTTTGCGGCCATGAAGAGTGATGCCAGTACCAAGCCCCTCTTGAGTGGCATCATCTCCACCAGTTGAGTGATTCGGTTGCCGTCCAAGGCTTTAACCATTATCACTCCAATTCTTGTCGGTGCCGATTTTACGAACTTCCAGTTCAGCTTTATCGACCTTATCCTGCACCCAGAGTTCTTCCAGTTCAAAGTGCTTGACTCTGCCGACTCCACGTCGGTGTGAGATGCCTTTGGCAGCTGATGAGTCTGTCAGACATGCCAGTTTGTATTTGCGATCCATCTGCGCGAGGATATTCTGCACCATGATCGTTGCTGCCGATCCGCGGGTGAGCGCCACAGTATAGTCGATCTGCTTGCCGCACGATGTGTCCAACAAGTGCGATCCTAGTCTGATGGCTATAAGGAGCTCATCGACTTTCGGCTTTCTTGGCACAACCCCAGTCTGACTCCGTGTACACCCCAGGATTTCCTTCGGTTCGTCCTGATGTTCAAACACCCACGTCTCTGTTGGGTACTTTGCCAGATACCTGCACAACCGTTTCAGTCTGAGGTTGTGCAGTACCGTTGGCTTGGCCATTCCAGACGCAATAATACCTGCCATTGCGAACTGGATTGAAGGTCTGTCCAACGACAGATACAGCGCCGTCCGGCAGATACAGCGCCGTCCCGGCGAGCTTGGAAGATCTTAGCTTCCTCTTCTGTCAGGGCTTTGTCCAAATCCCTGGAATTCTTTCCTGTTTCTTTTGACACTGGTGTGTCTACTCCTTTGCAGCCTCCCAGGCCCATTTCCTTGACAAGAAATTTTGCGTACTTCGGATCTGCTTGCCAAGTGAACCCAGCCTCCGACCAAGTGATCAGACGGTGTAATGGTTCGCTTGAGGTGGTTTCGCCTCCGTAAGTAAATCTCCAATCCTGGGGAGCACTTTCACTTCGAAACCTTCCCTCATCACCTCGTCCAATCTGTCCAAGCCCTCGGCTGGGCCTTCTGCCAGGAAATCGTCCCCATGGCAGGACATTGTCACATCCCATTCTGGATGGTAGAACATTCCAGAAACTGTTTCGATAGTTCTGAAACCCACTGGCTTAAGTGTTCCAATGATTTCTGTACTCCAACACTTTGACGCTTCCCTTGTGCCGTTCATGGCCTTTGTTCAGGTACCAAAGGTACTCCGACTGCAGGTCCTTTGGAGGGATTACACTGCAATCTTTCCACTTGACTTCGCGTGGAAGAAAGCCACCGACACATCGTATCGTCCCAGGAGTCGCCTTTTCCAAACTTTTGACCCTTTCGTTTGGTTGCAGCCAAGGAAACAATGATTCTGTGGCCGGCCAGCCAGTGGAGGCGTGCCGCTGAAGACATCGTCTCTGGGGCCATTGTTGATTTCCATGGCTACGCGAACTCCATGCGGATCGTTCGGAAGTGGCTTCCAGCCATCTATACCCATCTGCTTTTCACAATCTTCAAGCCCATGTCTTTGGCTTGCTTCCACGTAATGTCTGTCTTGACATTGTGGGATTCCATCTTCAGGAACTCTCTTCCACGTCCCTTTTTCACTTTGTCTTCGGGAAGTGGCTCTCCTGTCCTTTCATCCACTGCTCCATCGTAGTTGGCCCAATCTGGGTATCCTGTTGGCATGATGTCCGCAAGATGGGCAACTGGAGGTGTTTCGGGCAGTGTTGGTTGTCCAGCGATGATCTCAGGCTCTGGATCCAACAGGGCAGCATGGAGCGTGTCATACTCCAGTGCTTCCAAGTCAGTCTCTGCTGGTCTCCTTTCGCCTCTTTGTTCCTCGGCGCGGGGTTTCTTTGGAGAAGTTGCACTGGACCCGCCATGCGGTTGATCCCCTCCATCTCTCTTGAGCCCGCTGCTCGAGGACTGACCACCGCTTTGGGCATCCATGGGGGCAGTTCTTCCCGCGTCTCTTGGGGCGGTGGTACCCGCATTTTGAGGTGTGGTGATACCCACGCCCTGAGCTGCGGTGCTACCCGCTGCTCTTTCAGCGGATCCACCCGCTTCAAGCTCGGGAACTGCGGGGCCGCCCGCTGCTCCGGATTCTTCCTTTTCTTTGGCCACCAACTTTTCAAATCTCTCCCGACACACCTTGCTGTGCGGACGGGGATTGTCGATTGTGGTGTATAGCAACCTGGGCAATCAGGAGTTTGCCTGTGCTTGAGTTGCAAACCCAGCGTGATGTAGACACCGCAGTTGCTACCCGCAGGTGTCCCTGGTGCTGGTAGACCTGGAGTGGCTGGTGCGCCTGGAACTGCTGTTGGCCCACCTCTTGGTTGCCAAGGTGTTCCTTTGAAGTTGTCAAACAGCTTCCTGTCCCAGCGCTTGCTTTCCGGCCTCCTCCAGATGGTTCTGCATCTTCGGATGCCCTGCTCTGTTCCAATCAGATGCTCGTCTGGCTGACTGCGGATCCAATTTCCCTTTCTCCGCCGTTGCCACTTTGCAGTGGACTGTCTCTGCCCATTCAGCGATCTCACCACGGTACTCTCGGCCACGAAGTCGCTCATATGGCGTACGGCCGTCAGCCTTCACCAAGAACCGGGAGATCAACCAGGCTGTGTCGAATCAGCCAACCATATATTTTATGGTTGGGCATCACCTCGTATTCAGGGAAGTGATGTTCCAACGCACTAGTGGCTGTTCTGGCTTGCTTCGCCAGCTCCAGGATAGCCCTTTCCGCGGCACCATTCGAAGCATGTGACCCTCGAGGGCCACTTGGATCTGGCACTCCTTGCCCCATTCTTTGCCTGCAGCTTTGGCCACTGCCCTGATCGAAGGCTCAGCGTCCGTCATCAAAATCAATTTCTGGCGTCCTGTGCTCCTCAGCGCCTCAGCGACCAGATGTACGGCGTACTTGTCAACACCTTTGTTGACCACACCTGCAAAGATGCAGCCTTTCTCAATTCAGCCACTTTCGCTTCTGTGGCTTCCCCATGGGGTTTGCTGATATACCTACCCAAAAAGCAATAATCCATGCTGACTCGCGGGGCGTCGGATGGGTTTACTCCTTCAGCGCGTTTGAAGTGACCATCTTCTCTGACCTTGCCTTTCATGCAAAGGTCACACCATGTACGTGCCGGAAGGTGTGTCAGCATGTGAGTGCTGAACTCTTCCTCTGAAACGTGATCTGGGATTTTCTTTGCTTTGGGTTTTCTTGTATCTTCTGAAACTTCTTCAGGGGGTTCACCTACTGGTGGGAGAGGACCTTCAACTACTTCTTCTGGTTGGGGGTCCTCAACTACCACTTCTACGTCACCCCCACCCGATGACGCACCTTCCTCAGCGTAGGCGTAGGCTTCAGCAGGCACTGTTGTGGCTGCTGGCCTCACAGCGCCGAGAACATCATGAGTGGAGCTTGCCACATCATGACCAGCGGTGCTACCCGCATTGGAGTTGGTGCCCTTTAGGGGTTTGATGGGTAACCAAAACACGCCTCTGCTTTTCTTGAGTGGAATGGGCGGGGTCCTATCCAGGATGCTTTTTCGAATCCTTTGCATCCTTGTCTTGAACAAGTGCGTAAAACTCAGGACCAATGATTGTCCAAACTCCACATTGCGCAGCTTGATCAGCTGACAAAACGCTGGAAGTGATCTTGTCCGATTGACAATTTTCAACCGAAAACTTCTTACCATTGTCAACTGCAATCACACTTTTCTTCTTGAAACCGGTGTCCGAAGTTTCCCCTGTTACAGTGACCATGCCACTACTTGAGCCCTTGGTTGTGGTGGTGGCATTTGGGTCAAAATTCTTTTGAAACAAATGGGACCCGGCTCCAGTGTCAACCAAAACGTGTTTTGCAGGAACCAGGGAATGCAGCTATCAAATCTGGCAAAGTGCCATCCACTGCTGCTGATAAGGGCTCTGGCTCATCACCATGTGGGGCAGCTGCGTTTGGTTTTCGTTGGGGGTTTTGCTTCCCCTTACTTACCATCCCCTTTTCTCTTCGATTTTCCTTTGCCCTTGCCGTCGCCCTTTTTACCTTTCTGCTCCGATTTCCATCGGGCTGGGCATTTGCGCCAGCACCCAACTGGTGCGAGACATCTCTAGCAGTTCTGCTGTCACACTTCGGTATGAGGTCAGCCTTGAAGCATTCCTGATGACGTGGTCTGATGTTGTTGTCCTGGATGCCGTTGATGATGATTCCCATCAGCATCTCGTCATCAATGCTTTTGCTGCTTTCTTGTTCATACCTCCGGATGGTTTTCTCGAAGGCTTCCAATTCTGAGATCTTCACCAGAAAATCTGGTGTTGAGGATTAGGCTGAGTGTGCCCATGAACCGACTGGCTACACAGGGGTGAAACATTTCTTCCAATCGTCTCATGGACTCAGCACCTTCGCCAGGACCTGTGTTCTGAACTACGTCCAGGACCCTGCCTTTCACCAACATCACCAGGATGTAGTACAGCTGAGTTGACAGCTTCCTATCACTTTCACTCAGAAGCCTGTTGGGCATTGAGACCCTTGAGCCAGCGATCCTGTCCAAAAGATCTATATAAGTAGTCAGGCGAGATGCACGCCAAGTAGCTCTTCAGGACAAAGCTCCAATCACTGTACTCGGGTGGGTCGCTTTTGAAGATCTCTGGTTTCCCCAAAGTTCGGGTGTCCAAGAATGGGGTTGAAGGATAAGGATGCACCCTGGTTCGACACCCTCAGCAACTCATTTGCGGGGATCATCCCACTCAAGTCAGACAGTCTTGAGTCTGTTCTAGATTCTAGCCTGACTCATTTGGTTGAGTTGCGTTTGCTGAGCTTCAACCTGCCCAGCCAAGGTCTGAATTGCGGCTCTTGCTTGAGCCAGCTCACGCAACAACTGCTGTTGCTGAGGCTGACCCTCCAGGTCCCCTGGAACTGGGGTCGTCTGCGCTGAAGTCGACATCGCTACCTGGGTCGGCTTCTTCTTCTTCTTCCTCCTCTTGTGAGTCTACTTCCTCTGGCTTGACCTTTGGGAAAGGCCTTGTTTCTTTCTTCTTTCTTAGGTCGTGGAACCGCCTGATAAAGGCTGTCAGATGCGGCTTCACTGTCTTGAACCTCTGTCTCCTCTGGTCCAAACGCTGTTGGGCAAACTTGGCAGTAGCTGGCCTGTTTGCCTTTGTGCGCTCGCCGCACGAAGAGCACTGGCAGGCCACGTAGAACTTGGTCACCTATACCGTTCCACGAGGAGTAAGGGGCTGGTCGCTCTTGTGATCAGAACCCTTTGGCGGAACCTCTTTTCTTTCCAGATGCGGTTGGCCTCCTTGATCTCCGGAGCTCCTTGGGCATACCTTTCAACCACTCGCCTCTTGTGCTGCACGCTCCTTGCAACTGACTTGAGTCGAAGCAGCGGCTTGGTTTCACCGGCCTGCAGGACCAAGGTTGTCTCACCGAGCCTTTTCACTCCCACACCGGCCTCAGTGACGACTCTTTTGGGCCGTCCACTCCTCACACGCGGCTTCTGCTTCGGATCAGTTGTGTCCTCTAGCACAACTGTCCTTGTAACCGTGTCTCCTGATGAGCTGCCCCGGCCAAGCAACTCTGGGAATCGGGCTTCGGCCCTGTCTTGCTGCGCCTCCTGGCGCTTGCGGCTTCCTCTGTCTATCCGCTCTTGTTGTTTGTTGGCACCCTTCTTCCTGGGTGCCGTTGTGCTGATGCGGGGCCACCCGCTATCAGGGTTGGTGCGGTGCAACCCGCTACCAATCAGCTGGTGCGGATCTGCCCGCGACCAGCTTGAGCGCTGGTTGCAGAACCAAGGGCTCTGCTACCATGCAAGGTAGCACAGATGCTACCACAGTCACAGCACACAACAGTAGCGCAACCTATCTCACCTTTTCTCAGCTTGCGCCAAAGAGGGGCTGCGATTGCAGCCAAGTCAGTTCAATTGTGCCATGTATAGCCTACTATTCCTGACAAAAAAAGCAATACGAAAAGAAGCAAAAACGACGACAAAAGCATATCAATATACGAAACAGGAGAAATTTCAGGATCCGTGGGAACCACTATTTCGGTCATTTCGAGTGGTAAGTCATCCA